TTTCTTTATTACTCTCAGCAGCAAAGAAATAGAGATAAATAAATAACTGAAATGAACAAAAAAAGTGCTCAAGCAACCAATCATATAACACAGGAAGTAACTATAAAAATATACTTGAAGCACTCACAATCCCCCTCTTTCTTGCGGATAACGAAGACCAAATGTAGAACATCCAACTTCAGCTAACGTAGCCAACAGCAGCTCCAACATGGAAAATCACGATGAATTCAGGCTAATGGAGACACAGAAAAAAGAAGGTAATATCTGGGCTCCAACTGTATGTGCATAACTATAACAAGTAAATCACTAAGTCAAACCCAACTCTTCACACCCAAACACGGTAATATAGCAAGTGGTAGCATAAATGCATTCACCAATACATAGAACGTCAGATACTGAAACATAAAATCAAGACTTCTAATAGAGAACTTACCATACTTACCCACCATACCAGCCAATGTCCAACCCCAACCGGGTGGGTGGGTGGGAATAATACTCGCCTCCGTGTCTTTAATAAAATCATGACTTTACGTCATGTTAATAGTAAAATCTGAGAATTTTATTAAAGACACGGAGGCTCCTATTATGCAAGTTCAAAGCTTAGAAACCACTTGAGATGCAAAATGGTCAATCGGCCTGAAGTAGAAATCACGAAAAGTCGATTCCCGTGACCAATCCGCTGCACGCAGAATATCTTCCAAGCGGCAGCCCATGGCCGAAGCCTTAGAGGCCATAGCTCCACGGACTGAATGAGGGGTGAATCTGGACGTATCGATCCCGGCCAGAGTCAACAACTCCCGTACCCATCTAGCCAATGTAGGTGTAGACACCGGAAGGTGTGGGGCTCGAAACGAAATGAACAAGGGGCATAAATCCGGGGATCGCAACGGTCGAGTAACCTCGAGATAGGCCTGAAGGCATTCGACCGGACAGAGAGCAGGATTATCTTGGAAGCCGACTTCGTCCTTCTGGATATGTTAAAGGAGATGCCTTCCGGGGTGAACGCAATGGCATTCCAGTCAAGTGCTCGAACATCAGACACATGCTCCTACAAGAAATTAGACATAACAGCATGACCACCTTAGCCGACAGCTGCTTCAGTGTCAGGTCCTGATTTGGATACCAAGATGACAAAAATCGGAGAACCACATTCACGTCCCAAAAGGCAGTGAATCTCGCACAGGGCGGTCTAGTGAGACGAATCCCTTTGAGCAGCCGGCATACGAAGGGGTGACGTCCCACAGGCGAACCATCCAAACCTTGATGCCCAACTGATATAGTGGATCGGATAGATTAATGGTGCGATACGCCTTCCCAGATTCAAACATCCCAGTAAGGAATTCCATGATCATATGTAAAGGGGCAGATACGGGATCCACTGACCGTTCCACGCACCAACTAGGAGATCCGGGAAGGTTGGTATCAGACGTGGGTAATCTGTGGTCAATTCCAGTAACTGAGGGAACCAAGGTCGAGACCGCCACAGTGGAGTGATCAGCACCATCGAGCAGCCGTGTCGAGTCAGCTTCGACAGCGTGTGAGCTATCAGATTGAATGGGGGAAAGGCGTAAAGCCGAGCATTCGGCCAATCCTGAAGGAACGCATCCGTTGCCACTGCTGCCGGATCTGGTCTCCAGCTGAAGAACTTGGACACTTGCGTGTTGAGACGGGACGCGAAAAAAGGTCCACTTCGAATGGGCCCCAAATTAGGTCCAATCCCTGGAAGCAGCGTGTAAGCGCCAATCTCCAGAGTCTCTCATGTAGCGTGAGTTCCAATCGGCCGTTGAGTTGTCCAGACCCGGAATATGTTCCACCTGCACGTAAATGTTGTTGCGAAGGCAGAACCGCCAGAAGTCCTTTGCCATGAGAGCTAGCATGCGCGATTTCGTGCCTCCCAGGTGGTTGAAGTAGCGGACCGCTGACACGTTGTCCATCCTGAGCATCACACAACAATTCGTCCGTTCCTGTGTAAGGCTGCGAATAGCGAATGCTCCTGCCAATAGTTCCAGGCAATTGATGTGGAGTGTTCGTTCCTGATCTGACCATATGCCTCCGGTAGACGCGGTACCACAACGTGCGCCCCAGCCGTGTAAGCTGGCATCGGACTCTATCACGACGTCCGGGACGGAAACCGAATATGGCTTTCCCGTTCCAGGCATCCATGTGGGCCAGCCACCAGGTCAATTCGTCTCTGGACTCGTCGTCGAGCCTCACCCTCTTCTCGTAAGAGTGGCCTGCACATAGGTGAGAGCCCTTTACCCGTTGAAGGGCCCGATAATGGAGAGGCCCAGGGAATATCGCTTGTATTGAGGCGGCTAAGAGGCCGATTACTCTCGCCAGATGTCAAATAGAGAGGTCGTCTGCACGTAACGTACGTCTGATCTCTTTCTTGATAGCCTTCATCTTGGACTCCGGAAGGAATAGGAACTGTTGGATGGAATCCACCGTAAACCCCAGAAATTTTATCGATTGGGTGGGATCCAACACCGATTTCTCCCAATTGATGAGAAAACCTAGATTCTGGAGCAAAGACGTAGTCCATGAGACATGAACCTTTAATTGCTCTTTTGATTGGGCCATCAGTAAGATGTTGTCCAAATAGATGATCAGACGCACTCCAAGGCTCCGAAGGAAGGACACTACCGGCTTCATGACCTTGGTGAAGCACCAGGGGGCCGAGGAGAGTCCGAATGGCAGACAAGTAAACTTCCAGCGCTCCCCTTTCCAGGTGAACTGGAGGAAATCTCTGTGGGCCGTGGTTATAGGCACTGTAAAATAAGCGTCCTTGAGGTCCAGTTTGGCCAACCAGTCGGACTGCTGAAGGAGGTCTCGAAGGCAATGGATGCCCTCCATCTGGAAATGACGATACTGAAAAAAAGCGTTGAGGGGGCGGAGGTTGATGACTGGACGCACACCCCCTCCTTTTCTTTGGGACCAAAAACAGGTTGCTCGTAAACCCCTGTTGAGTAAACGGGACCTCTTGTATTGCACCTTTGGTGTGAAGTTCCATGATCTCCGAGGAGATCAATTCTTCTTGCTCTCGAGCGAGTGAGAGTTCCCTGGGGACAAAAAGTTTGACAGGCATGGACACAAAATCTATGTGGTAACCCCGCTCTGTTTGGAGAGCCCAAGCATCTGTTGTCAAGGCAGCCCACGCCTCGTAAAACTGGGCCAATCTGCCCGCCACCCGCTCTTGCGTATGAGGGAAAAAAGGGGAACTCACCATAAGGGCGTCTGCCCGACGAGGCACCTCTCGGATAGCGGGAATTCCAGGGTCTCCCTCTGGAGGGGAAGAATGGAGCCGGTCTGGGCTCTTGGAAATTCCTGGTAGGGAAGAAGGAGCCTCTCTGGGCCCGAGACGAACCCCGGAATCCATGGCCGGGTGGACGGCTCCTGCTGCGCCCGGCCCCTCCAAAAACCCTAGGGGAAAACACCCTCTTCATGTTAGCCTGGGCCTTATCAATGGCTGTGAAAGTTTTTACGTAAGACCCCAGGTCTCTGACAAAATTATCGCCAAACAGCATCCCCTCAGCCGAGGGGCCAGGTTCTGAGATGGCCATGGTAGCCAACTTCGGGTTGATCTTAAGCAGGATTGCTTTCCTGCGTTCAGCGGAGACGGCCATGTTGGCATTGTCTAGCAGGCAAATGGCACGTTGCACCCAGCCAATCGCCACATCTATGTCAAGCTCCGCCTCACCTGCTTTGGCGGCTTCCAATACCTCATAGGCCTTAGACAGAGGACCAAGGGTGTCCATTATCTTATGCTGACAGTTTCTCAGGGAAAAATCCAGGCCTTTCTTTTGTTTCCAGCCCGATTTATTAAGGAACTGGGCAATCTGAGGATCGACCTCTGGCGTCTTACGCGCCGATCCTGGGACCGAAGGTCTAGGGCATTCAGCCCGTAACTTACTGCGACTCTCCTTAGAGAGTGGCGTACGCATCCTGTGTGCGATGTAGCGGGCGATATGCTCGGGGGGTTCCCACTCAGCGGAACTTGGATGACGCAAGTTGTCCGGATCAGAACAGGGGGTTACCCTGCAGATCCAGAATCCCCGCGTCGCCGCTCGCCCCTTGGGCAGTAATACCCTTAGCAGGGAAAGCGCCCCCAGTATGGGGTGCTACGGCAGGGGGAGCTCCCTCCTCCGAGCCGGCTTCATCATCGGAAGCATAGTCCAGTTCCCCACATTCATCCTCCTCACTCCGGTCGCTCTCTGACCTTTCCTCACGGGATCTAGCCCGTTTCCAAGATCTGGCTGTTTTTGCCCGACCAGGTGCTCTTTTGCGCGGTGGTAGCGCGCCATCTGCGACTGCCTCAGGCGAGTCCGTCAGGGCAGGTATAACCCGCGTCATGGAGTGGGAGGAGAGGTGTTTGGCCTTCACCTTGGCCTTACGGGCAACAGGTGAGGCAGGGGTAGGGGCAGGACCCGCTCCCAGTAGGGTAGGGGTAGCTACCTGGGGCAATAAAAGAGACTGCGCTAGAGTCTGGGAGAAGGAGGAGGACATAGCCCCCATAGCGGAGGCGAGCGCTCTCTGAAGAGAGGATGCCATGGTGGAGTTCCGCAGGGCTTGGAACTCCTCAGACACGGTCTGTTCCTCAGGGAGCCCCTGATGGAACGCATCAATTTGGCCCTCAGGGCCATCACCTTTATCCTGCATGATTGCAGGTAATGACTAAAATTATTTGCAAAAAAAAAACGACAGGCAATCTGAAATTAAAAAGATACAGAAACATAAGTATCCTGGAGAAAACAAAGTCAAAGGAAAGTGGTAGGGTTTAATAACCCAAAAGGGAATAGAACAGAAAGGAAGGGGCAACAATTAGAGAAAAACAATGAAAAAGAATGTAAAATAACCAGTATGAAAATTCACAGGGCACAGAGAAAATGAGACATGGCAAAAAATAAAACCCTACCCCACAGTGGTGTGTCCAGAGGAAGGAGAGCGGGCACTGGGTGCCTGCAGAAATGACCTGCCAGCGGAACGAGTTCGGGACGAGAAAGATGGCCGCCACACGAGGCAAGAAGGTGAGGCAGCCGGCTAGAGTGGGGGAAGGGGCGCGCGCGCAGTAGCAGCGCGGCCCGACCTTCACATGCTCGGGAGCCGTCGCCAAGCTAAGCGGAGGCTCACCGGCATGGATCCGAAGGTACAAAGACAGGGGATTCCCCACAGCCACCCGCGGTCTGCGGGAGGGAGGGGAGAGGGTGGATGGCAGCACTGCCGCACGCGGCAGTAACAGCCTCCAAGGGAGCACACCACGGGGGGAGCAAATAAAACGAAAATAAAATAAAGTAGTAGGCTCCCAATAAGCCCAAAGGCTAAAACTAGGAGCACACAATAAAGCACAACAAATCAGTATAATACAATTCAATACCAAGCACAGAGCAGAAAAAGGTGTACTTAACTGGTCTGAGAGCAGCAAAGAAAGAGGGGGATTGTGGGTGCTTCAAGTATATTATAGTCACTTCCTGTGTTATGTGATTGGTTGCTTGAGCACTGTATTTTTTTGTTCATTTCAGTTATTTATTTATCTCTATTTCTTTGTTGCTGAGAGTAATAAAGAAAGAGATATGCATAATAGGAGCCTCCGTGTCTTTAATAAAATCCCCTTACAGGTCGGACAAATGCTTTTTGTTGAATATTCAATGGCAAGTGGAAGAGGGTACAAAGTTTAAACACCATTAAATTAATTGCTCTTTAATTTTAGACGGTTTATTTTTTTGTGTGTGTTATGGACAGGTATCCTTGAACCGTTTTCTTTAAGGCTCCAATGTGCAGGCATCACTTTGTTAATTTTGTTTATTGTAAGGCAATAAACCGTGGCCTCATGTTTGTAATATGCAGGCATCACAGAGCACACCATCTCAGCTATTACATTTTTTGTGATGCAATAAACAGTAGCCTGATACTTGTGCTTTGGCATGTAATATACACATATGGCTAAACTGCTTTGTCATAAGGAAAGCCTCCCTTGCCCGCTGCGAATTAGCACTCCAATATGCAGATGTGATCATCATCTCCACTTTTTAGAAATAAAATTAGTGACCTGAAACTTCAGCTGCTGAGATTGTGAGTTAAAGTGACTCCATTACCTCTGGTTTCTTTAGCATTATTTCATAAAGATAAAATCTTTATGTAACTTTCATGTTGACTGCATTGGAATTTCATTTAAATTCTAGTGCAGTTAACAGATATTATTAAACAAAAAGGGACTACTTTCTCGTATGGAAAATACCAAAGGCAGAGCTTCCACCATCAACTTTTGTCAATTTCCAAGGCTATGGGAAAGAGGCATATACTCAAACATTGCGTGAGATAGCATACGGAGGGTCTTGATGTCTTGTCCATTGACATCTGAGTTGTAGTCTCACACAAGAGTACAATAGTAATGCGCCCTCATGATGGATGAAGTGCCAGGAGCTAAAGAAATGAAATTAAGATACCTGTACGGGAGAGCTTTAGGTAAGTACACTGCTGCACACAGTGCAAGGATGTCACCTTAGAGGGTCTTTGCAAAATATGCCCTGAATGTGGAAGAGCTACTTTAAACAAGAATTTTGACAACCCCAAGTGGATCTGTCACTTTCGTGTGTCTGCATGTGTTTTGCAAAGACCCCAGAAGGTGACAGGTCTGGTTAGGATTCGGTGACCGTGGGAGGCAGAAAAAGGCAGGTTTTACTTATCTGAGCTTTCCTTGCAGCCACTCCACGTTCATCCGGGGGTCCATTTTCAGCTTCTGGCACTTCATCTGCCAGAAGCTGCATCAGTATTGTGCTCTCACAAATGCACAAGAATAAAACACTGGCAGGGCACTCCTGGCACTATAACCACTACACTGAGATATGAATAGTTTGACACGTGATTCTCATTTTAATTTGAGGGCATTGCTATTCTGTCATCAAAAACCTAGAACATTTTCAGATTATCAGATACTGCAAAAATATTTACACGATTTCCAGCACTAGGCACACAGAAGACCAGTGCGTCCCTTGACAATTCCCTTTAATTTATGTTGAGAACAAATCATTACATTACAGAGATAGTCCAGGTTAGCCACACTTAAGAGTTGCTTGGGCACTGTCCAAAGTGGGTGAATGGGGGGAGGTGTAGGGGGATAAAAAAATAAAATAAATAAATACCAAGGTGTGATCTCATAGTAAACAATGCACATGCCTGCAGTTATTTGAGCTTTTATTATGTTATCCTATACTATAGAGAGTATTAGTGTGAGCCATCTGCTAAGCCATGTCATTACTACCCCATTAATTCAACCAGTCCATTACAACAGTACATTCACTGCAGACTCAGACAAAGGGAAACCCCTCCTCCCTAGCACTCACTCCAACCATTTTGCATAGGAAAATTAACAAATAAATATATATATATCTCTATATTTGGGTGTCACCCACACAAGCTAAACCCCCCAACACGTCACTGGCCATCACTGTGAGGGCAGAGGAGCTCAGGGAGGGATTGCCTCTTCCCTCCTTCCATTTTTTTTTTTTTGTGTGTGTGTGTGTCCTCAGCGCGCCCCCGGCTCTCCCGGAGCCCACACACCCCCCCCCAAAAAAAATACCCAGAGCGCGCCCCCGGTGTCCTGGCGCCACGGGGAGCAGAGGAGGAGGAGGGAGAGAGAGAGGTAAGTGAGTGAGACAAGGAGGGAGGGGAGGAAGGTCACGTGAGGGTAACGTCTCGTCCTGTCTTTAAACTTAAAGCTTATACTAATAACAATAATACTAATAATAATAAAGGGCAGGGGGCGGGGCCCGGGCCTGTGCGGAGGAAGCTGAGCAGGTGAGTGCCCTCTCAATTGGTAGGTGGGTCTGTGGAAGCTGTGTGTGTGTTTAATGTAACCCCGGGGCTGTGCTGAGGTCGCGCACGGCCCCCCGGGGCCTGGCCGGCCAGCTCCATTACCCTCCCGCGAGGTGAGCGCTCCTGCTCCACACACCGGGCGCCGCCATTTTCCCGCAGGTGAAGCGGCGGCTGACGCACTGTGCCGCACGGACCAACATGGCGGCCGAGCACGGTTAGCAGCCGCCGCCGCCGCCGAGCTGTGTGCTGGCAGTGAGAGGGGGGGGGGATAGCCTGCTCTCCTGTATAGCCGGCCTTGCCCTCTCTCTCTCTCCCCCCCACACCCGGCCCGGGGGGGCCATGCCGGGGATGCTTGGCACGGCTCGAGTTAAACCGCGGACAAAGGGTTCATTTTAGGTTTAGCTGTGACGGTTTTGTTTAGTCACGTGACCGCGCTCAGCCAATCCCCTGACACCCTGGGTGAAGACGGGTATAAGTACCAGGCGGACGCTGAGCCAGGCGGCCGCCATTGCTAAAATATTTTTATTTTTTTTTGTTGGGGGACGGCTGGGCATGGAAAGTGAGTGGTGCATGTTATTTCCTTACTCCTATTCACAGCTACAGGCATGAGTGTTGGGTGCCTCGCCGGCCGGCCGGCTGAGTGAGTGACTGAGGCCTTGCTGTGGGGACTGTGGGGGCCACTTACCTGGACAGGTTGCTTGCAGCCAGGACTGACCGACAGGTAGACCCCCATCCACCCCTTCCTCAAGGCTGGCAAAGCATCATGGGGTTTGTAGTTCCTCTAGGGGAGGGAGGTCTGCCTGTTGGACAGACTTGGATTATATAGTTTGTTTTTATGTCTGGGGAGCCATTGGTCTAGCAGTAGATGGACTGGTTGGCTTTGTGTATTATCTGTATTAAATAAGCCCATTGTGTTATTACCACCACTTCTTCATCCTTTCATACAAGAAATAATAATACAACAGCTGTAATGGACACATCTGTGGTTGACTGGGCATCATGGTGAACAGACAATACATTTTTCTCACCACTAGGCCCAGACATTTTTAGCCATTTTTGTTTATGATCTTTACAAAAATGCAGGCCTACACACATTTATGTTCTCTAAGAAAATATATATATACATACATATAGATACACTCACACTACTTCTGCATATATTTTGTTTGTGAGATACTTTTTATTGGTTGATGCCTGACACAGTTGTTGACGTTTTTATTGCACTGGTTTAACCTGTCAATGAATTTTGTGTATATATATATATATATATATATATATATATATATATATATATATTTTTTTTTTTTTTAATGAGTGCCAGGTTATTCACTAGCGTGAGACTTGTCGCAATGGATTTTAAATTAAAAACTGAAGACAGACAGAAGACAATCTCCAAGTCAGCTATGCTTCTGCTGCAGCTATTTTGGCCTTACATTTGAAATTCACTTCCAATTTCTGACAATTCTCACAATAGTGAATATGCCTTTTTTGTCTTTTAAGTAATCCATATTCCTACAACATTGTAGGTTTGTGATTTTGCTTTAACTTTGCTTTCACTCAGATATGGTATAAAGAATGATAGGTGTGAGCTTGTGCTTCCTTGAGTGGTTAGTATTTTCTTGTATATTGAATGTGCCTTTTTTTTTCTTTTTTTTTTCTTCTGGGTAATTCACTTTTATATAGAACCATCCTATTACATAGCGCTTTACAATTATAAAATGTGGATATTTTGAAGGTGAAATAGGCTGTTCTCGAACAAACTTGCAATCTGAATGTTTGAGGTAGGTGAATATATGTTGTCAGGTGTCTTTCCCAAGGACACTTACTGGTAAGGTTGTCTGACTGGGCTTTGAACCTAGGAACCATGACCATGGTTAAAACCTGTAACCTGTTAGCTGCATATTAAATTTACAATATGTTATCAGAGTTTCTGTGATGCTAGAGGAGATGGGAGTGTAAGTGGGGCCTTGTGCTAAATTCAATTTTGTGTTTTTTATAGTCTTAAACAAATCTTGACCTGTGTATAGACATGGTCTTGGTTTGAAGGAGACACTCTAGGCTGTATCTCACCTAATGCATTAAATTAAAACATTCAAATCTATACAAAAATAAGTCTAGGAAATTAGGATCCTGTATTTCTTGTAAGTTCCTGGTCTATGTAGCTTCACTAATGAGCTTTGCTAAGTCTAGCAATTGGCAATCCTGATTCATCCATACTGTTTTTAGACAGTGCAGAGTGTTTCTGAATATGGACACAAATGTTCTAGTATTTTGTGGTTTACCTGTCTGCATTCTACAATAGAATACAACTTAAAGGGATACTATAATTGCCAAGAATGCAAAGCCGTATTCCTGGCACTATAGGTCCATCTGCCTCCCACCAATGTGAATAAAGTGTTAAAAACCCTTAATTTACTTACCTTACCCCAGTGGGTTGTTGCTCCGCCTACTCTAATATCCAGTAATGAGCAAGTGCTAACGCACATGCGTGGCAAATGTAGTGCGTGCATTAGACCTCATAGGAAAGCATTGAATCAATGCTTTTCTATGGGGGAAAATCTGATGCTGGATGTTCTCATGCAGAGCGTGAGGACTCAGTTACTGGATCCAGGAAGTGCCTCCAGTGGCTGGAGGCAGATTTAGTGCTGCAATGTGGACATTGAAGTTACTCTGGAACTGCAAAGTTTAACAGTGCAGCACTAAGTACAATAGGGACACTGCACCCAGACAACTTTAAATAAGCTGAAGTGTTCTAGGTGCCTTAGTGTTCCTTTAACTACAACAAACCGTTTTTTATGATCCGAAAAGGGAAACACTTGTATATTTACATTTTTTTTTTTTTCTATTTAAATGGCAGATTGACTTTTAGCTGCAGTGAATTTTTGCATATTTACGCAGTTAGATGACATTGGGAAACTTGCATAGGTTGTTGAAGTGGTTTGGGTGCCTAAATGTCCTTTTTTAAAGGGAAACTATAGGAACCCAGATCACTTCAGCAATGAAATTGTTTGGCTGCCATGTCCCTGTAATTTTGCTCATGCCGTGTTAAATATTGCCGTTCTGCAGAACTTCAGAATTTTGTTGTAAGCACCTCTAGTGTCACTCAGACAGCCACTAGAGGTGCTTACAACAAAATAGCACTATAAAACTCTATTTCAGTCAGATGGTCTCATAAAGACTGTTTGATTTTGCGCAGCGCATCCTGTTGTCGTGAATGCACACTAGCTTTCCTATGGGAAAGCATTGAATGGGCTAAGTACATTGATCTCACTCTTGGCAAAGGAGGCGGGGCCAGCTATGGAGAGATCAGTGGGGCATATAATCGTTTATTATATGCAACTATTTACTCTGTGGCCCTACAAGATTTGCTTATACACTGCCTGGCCAAAAAAAAAGTAGCCACCCAAAAAAAGGTCTCACTCTAATATTTTGTTGGACCGACTTTAGCTTTGATTAAGGCACACATTCGCTGTGGCATTGTTTCAATAAGCTTCTGCAATGTCACAAGATTTATTTCCATCCAGTGTTGCATTAATTTTTCACCAAGATCTTTTATTGATGATGGGAGAGTCGGACTACTGCCCAACGCCTTCTCCAGCACATCCCAAAGATTTTCAATGGGGTTAAGGTCTGGATTCTGTCGTACCCACTTCATGTGTGAAAATGATGTATCATGCTCTCTAAACCGCTCTTTCACAATTTGAGCCTGGCATTGTCATGTTAGAATATGCCCGTGCCATGACGAAAGAAAAAAATCCATTGATGGAATAACCTGGTCATTCAGGTAGTCAGCTTACCTCATTCTTTGGGCACATAATGTTTCTGAACCTAGACCTGACCAACTGCAGCAACCCCACTGCCCCCACATGCTTGTAGAGTAGGCACTAGGCATGATGGTTGCATCATTTAATCTGCCTCTCTTCTTACCCTGATGCGTCCATCATTGGTGGTTCCCCATTATCCTTCCAGTTTTTAATAATGGACAGTTCTTAACCCAATTTTATCCAATAGGAGGCTCTTACCTGTTTGCTTAGTTAAACCCAGGTGGTGACTTTTGTTTTGGCCAGGCAGTGTATTATACATGGAACAATACTTGTGTTCTTAAAGATTACTGAAGTGATAGAAGCTACTACTGAGTTATTGCCTATGTTAAAGGATCACTATAGGGTCAGGAACACAAACATGACTCTATAGTGTTAACACCAACATCTGGGCCCCTCATGCCTCCATAAATATAGTAAAAATCTTACTGTAGTCAAGCCTGAAGCTGTAACTCAGAAAAACAAGCAGTCTGCTGACATCATTAGAAGTGGTGGCCTGATCCAATCACAGTGCTTCCGCATAGGATTGGCTGAGACTGACAAGGAGGCAGATCAGGGGCAGAGCCAGCATGATTCAAACACAGCCCTGGCCAATCAGCATCTTCTCATAGAGATGTATTGAATCAATGAATCTCTAAGAGGAAAGTTCAGTGTCTGCATGCAGAGGGAGGATATACTGAATGTCTTTATGCATTTTAGGCAGCCATGACCCAGGAAGGGTCTCTAACATCCATCTGAGGAGTGGCCAGTGTAGTTATCACTAGGCCGGAATGTAAACACTGCATTTTTTCTGAAAAGACAGTGTTTACAGCAAAAAGCCTGAAGGCAATGATTCTACTCACCAGAACAAATTCAATAAACTGTAGTTGTTCTGGTGACTATAGTGTCCCTTTAATAAACCTGTATGTAGTCAAAAGTGTTTTCTTTTCTTTTTTTGCTTACATGTTGGGGTGCCAGTGCATTATGGGGGTTAAGTTTGGAGAGTTCCTTTAAATCGGGGTGTATGTGAACAGGCATATGTTGCGTTTTTATGTGTAGATGATAGTCTTTAAGCACCCCTACCCTTAACATTTCTTTCCTAATTCACACTTAATCTACCATCCATGCCTTCTCTACCCATGCTCATCCTCACTTTTTTCCACACTTATTAAATGATCACCATAGTGTCAGGAAAACACGGCCGCACGCGCATTCAAACAGTCCATAGGAAAGCATTTCTCAATGCTTTCCTATGGACGTTCTGCACGCTGAATGTGATTTCCGCATTCAGCGTCGCAGAAGCGCCTCTAGCGGCTGTCAGGAAGACAGCCACTAGAGGCTGGATTAACCCTGCAATGTAAATATAGCAGTTTCTATGAAAGGGTTGAAATCTGGGGGACCTGGCACCGAGACCACTTCATTGAGCTGAAGTGGTCTGGGTGACTATAGTTTCCCTTTAATGCACTCATTTGATCCTCCCTGACAGTTCCCTTTAAAAAAATTTAAGTTTCATGTCCTTTGAGGGTCACAGCTTGGTTATTGAAGGTCAGATGGCTTTATCCCCAGTGTCCAGTGGTGTGAGGAAGTTGGGTGGAAAATGCCCTTGTTTTAGCCCTCTATATTACAAGGGATCTGGTTTACACTCCCATGGGTAAAGAATAAGACTATGTGGGGGAAGAGTCAATCATTTGGAACAGACAGGATGTTTACAGGAGGTGATGGTTATATTTCTTCATGAATTGTATGTTTGTGTAAAAGAGCACTCTCATCACTATTAAAGGGATACCATAAGTGTCAGGAATACAAAGTGGTATTCCTGGCACTAGAGCTCCCTTGCCCGGGTGTATAAAGGGTTAAAAACCCTATATTTACTTACCTGAACCCAGCGCGGATGTCCCTCGGAACTGGATTGACAATTTGCCTCCTCTGACGTCCCGTGACGTGTTGGCGCTAATGCATAAGCACAGCAGATTTGCAAATCCGCACGCGCTTAAAACTTCTCTGAAACGTCAGTGTATGACATTGCAGCACTAAGTGCAATGGGGACACTGCACCCAGACCACTAGCCGGCTCCATTATCCTCCTGTGAGGGAGTGGTCTGGGTGCCTACACTATCCCTTTAATGTTTCCATTCGGTGTAGTGGTTATGGTGCATAGAATCAGTAGGTGTCTTCTAGTTTTTGTCAAAGAGTGGTTTGAGAAAAAAAATATTTATCTCTGCCTCATCTTTAGCTGCCTGGATATTGTAGAATTTACACTTCTGCATTATCAAGAAGTGTGCTCTAGGTGCTTCGTTTTTGCTCCTTCAAAATCACCCCAAACAGCTTTCCATAAAAACAGGTTATGTGACTATATACTTGCTGTATCATAACTACTATGGGGTGTTTCTCTGAAACTGCTATGTTTTACATATGAAGGGTTAAAACCAGAGGGACCTGGCACACAGACCACTTCATTGAGATGAAGTGGTCTGGGTGACTGTAGTGTCCCTTTAATATCTTCTAGGAACCTGGCTCTATGTAAATAAAACTGAAGTTGATGAAATATAAATGCTTTAGATGACAGTCCTTATTTTTATTTTTTGCCTTTTATTTAGTAAATGCTGCAAAGTTGCATTTAAAACTGTGTTCGGATTGGCTCAAAACACAGGAAAGCAGTCACAGTAAAATGCCATGATTAATTACAAATTGACAGCTCGGTATTGCAGAATTTTCTAGTAGGCATCTTGTCACCTAGAAAATACACATTTCTTGGTGCAATTAAAAAGTAAAAATGAAATGCTATATCCTCAAATGAGACACTATAGCTGTAATGGATTTGGTGCCAGATGTCCTCAGTGCCAATCCACAGTAATTGGTTAAACTGTTTTCAGACAGTTGACACTTACCTGGGTCTGCTCAGTCAACTGTGCTTCAGACTCTTTTTTTCCCCTTTTGCTTTAGACATCTCATTTCATGGCTGTTTTAGACAGTACTCCTGTGGAAATGGGGACCTCTGATTTAGTGATACTTAAAGAGGATGCCAAACTGCGGGTAGCCAGACAGTTTGACACCGCTTCACTACTGATGGCACCAGGGGACTCCATTTTGTAATGTATGGTAAATATCCTGGCTCAGCTATTTCCATTGCCCCTCTTCTAAAGGGTCACACTAGTTTTTAATGCAAGTTAAAACACACGCTGCTGTGTACCACATTGGACCACTGCCTTCAGAAGTCAGAAGGGGCTCTTGGAGCTCAGAGATCAGAGCTCGAGCAAGAAGTACTGAGTACATTACAGTGTTGTCACAATGACCTTTGCTTCAGCTAGTTCTAAACCCCGCTCCTGAATTCAAGAAACTTTGTGCTTTGAGATGTCACTAGTAGTTTCTGAGGTAAACGTTATGAAATTTAAAATTAAATGGGAAAGATAAAGGAAGAAGGGCTGGGACAGGGTCATGTAAAGTGTTCACATAGTTGTACAAAGTGAGGTTAGGTAGGGGAAGTGATTAAGTGAAATGGTAGGAGGCACTTCTGCATTTACATGCATATATAAACACATTTAATTAAAATTCCAATGTACTCAAGATATAGAACATGGGAGGTACTACTTAGTCTTGTGGAAAAAGAATTTGAGGCATATGTGTAGCAAAGCGCAAACCTTCAAGAAGCTTATTGTCGTTGTTAAAGGGACGCTGTAGGCACCCAGGCCACTTCAGCTCATTAAAGTGGTCTGGCTGCAAACTCCCATCACCCTTAACCCTGGCAAGGTAATTATTGCAGTTTTTACAATATGCATGAGGACTTCCAGCGTCACCGGAATCTCCCCCCCCCCTGGCCCTCACCCCTGAGCTGCGGGTGGGGGCCCTAAGTCATTACTAGACCCAGAGGCTTTATTCTTCTTGGCCCGTTTTTCCATTGCATTATGGGGGTGTGTGGTTGGTTCATCGTTGGTGTAACACCTGGTGTGCTGTTTTTTTTTTTTTGTTTTGTTTTGTTTTTTAGCTCAGCTTGCTGGTCAGCTCCGCCCCCACTATATAATTTTTTTAAATGTTTATGTATAGGTATATAGTGATATATACGCATATACTTGTGTGTGTGTGTGTGTGTGTGTGTGTAAAAATATATATTTTGTTCTGCGTGTATTTTGATATTAATATATATTTAAAAATAGAACGAAATTACACATATATAATTTGGATTAATTTTTATTTTTTAAAGTATTTACATATATATTTTATATTATATATAATTAAACTATCATTCTGCGTGTATTTTGATATTAACATATATAATATACATATATTAAAATACATAGTGTGTGTGTGTGTGTATATATGTATGTGTATGTGTGTTTGTGTGTGTGATCTAAGTATATACAAGTTAATTTTAAACTGTTTTTTTAACTTTTTTTAAAAATTTTTTTTTTATTTCAGGCAGCAGGGGGAGTACCTGTCATTACAGACACTCCCCCTGCTGGTATTGCCATGGACGGCTATGCCGTCCATGTGATCGCGAGGTCCTCGCAAGGACCTCGCGATCACATGGCACAGGGGGGCCGGAGAGGAAGGAGGGGGACTCCCATGTGAGTCCCCAGATTGCGATCGCCAGCGACCGGGTAAGTAGAAAGGACGGCGGGGACGTGCTATGCTGTCCTTAAGGGGTTAAGGTGGAACACCTGGTAGGGGTAAAAACATGCACTGATCCCTTTGCAAACTGAGCATGCACATATCATGCTGAACAGTAAAGCTACCTCTGTTCCATGGTAATTCAGAAATGGGACATGGCCCTGAGAATTTCTCAGTGAAAGGCTGTCGTGTGTAAACAGGGGCTCTATAGGAAACAAGGGATCTGTTTCTTCAGTTTGCTAGAACAGTGACCGCTTTCTCAGCGCCATCACTCTTGTGCAGCATCCTGGTTCAGAATCTGGGAGGTCATGATGTTCCATTCTTCTACACTAGGGGTCAGCAACATATGGCACGTGTGCCATGCATGCATGGTACTTGAGGTCCCAATGGGACTTCAGGTAACGCTAGTAAAACCTGAGCGGTGGTTGCAGATAGTGATCGACAATCCTCAGTTTACATATTGTAACACTTAGAAAGTGATCTCTGGTCACTTCTTCCCCGTAGTTGTGAACAGGAATCTGCACTGGCCTAGATTAGCTATTGCAGATCCAGTACTGTACCTGTACCTGGCCATCCAGGTTACCACTAGACCCCAGGGAAGACACACACACTGCTAGATATACAAAGAGCTGCATAAGAAGCCTCACGCTCATACAAATAATACAAACAATCCACACACACAGTTACCACTGACAATGCACATACACACATGCAAGCATCCTCTCACGTTCAATACCATAAGCATTCCCCACACATACACACACCACCAAACACAAAATGTGACATCATCCAGACACAATTCCATAAGCAACCACCATACACAGCCCACATTCATAGGTATCATAAACAATACCACAAACTAGTAATCATTTTCTTATTTATATAGTGCCAGCAAATTCCGTAGCACTGTACAATGGGTATGAACATATACAATATAACAGCTCACATACACACAAATACAACCCTACAAAGCAACTAAAGCACCCATAAATAACACAAGCGTAATACGGCAACATATAAACCTCAGTTTAAGAAGCAAAAAAAAAAAAAAAAAAATACGGTACACCAAGGGACTTCAAGATCTTGTTTTGGCACACAACTGCTAAAAGGTAGCCTATACCTGTCCAACTCTGTCTTAAAGGGACACGATAGTCACCAGAACAACTACAGCTTAATGTAGTTGTTTTGGTGAGTATAATAGCTCCCTTCAGGCATTTTCATGAAAAGACTGCCTTTTCAGAGAGAAGGCAGTGTTTACATTGCCCCTAGGGACACCTCCAAGTGGCCACTGGAGGGACTTTCTGGCTCAGGGCTGCACAGTAAGCAGCCCTGCTGTTCAGCGTGGGGACGCTGAATTTTCCTCATAGAGATGCATTGATTCAATGCATCTCTGAGAAGGTCCTGATTGGCCAAAATTGCATTTGGCTCCGTCTGTGCCGATTTAGCCAATCCAATGCTTTCCCTATGGGAAAGCATTGGATTGGCTAAAAATCTGATAGTTTGATGTCAAAGGGGGCGGAGCCAGCGCCAGGCAGACCGCACGGCGCTGGCAATAAGGTGAGTTTTAACCTTTTTATAGAGGGGCTAAGGGGGCAAGCCTCCTAAATGGTGGGTTAAACACTATAGGGTCAGGAATACATGTTTGTGTTACTGACCCTATGGTGATCCTTTAATAGAACTCACAAGGGCAAAGCACTTACAAATACCTGGATTTTCTTTTCCCAGTAACTTCCTTGCCACCATTAGAGGTTAGCAGCGGGGTGGCGAAAGAATAAATAAATTTTTTTTAATTTATTTTTTTTGTTCTCTAATTTATCTTGTCCTTGTACAGCACGTGCATTCCACCTGTGATTTTAAAAAAAATTAAAAAATTTTTTTAATGTTCAGCTTCATTGCCATGCCTGTTGAATAAAAAAAACTTTAAAGGAACACTATAGTCATCTAAACAACTTTAGCTTAATGAAGCAGTTTGTATGTGTAGATCATGCTTCTCAGGTTTCACTGCTTAATTCACTGCCATATAGGAGTTAAATCACTTTGATTCTGTTTATGCAGTCCTTGTCACACCTCCCCTGACTCTGATTGACACAGCCTGCATGAAAAAAACTGGTTTCACTTTCAATCAGATGTAATTTACCTTAAACAATTGTATCTTTTTCTCTGTTAGTTGAACTTTAATCACATACAGGAGGCTCTTGCAGGGTGTAGCAAGCTCATAGCAGGGGATAAGAAAATCTAAATTAAACAGAACTTGCAATAAAGGAAGGATAAACTGTAGATAACTTTTTACAGGAAGTGTTTAGTGAGGCTGTGCAAGTCACATGCAGGGAGGTGTGACTAGGGTTCATAAACAAAGTTATTTAACTCCTAAATGGCAGAGAATTGAGCAGTGAGACTGCAGGGGCATGATCTATACACCAAAACTGCTTCATTAAGCTAAAGTGGCTTTGGTGACTATAGTGTCCCTTTAACCTACAAAGCGTACCACTACATTTCATAAAATTTACAAAACATACCGCAACATAACACTTTCATGACTATTCACCAATGTGTGACTTGTTTAGACTTCAAAGTTAATTTGTTGTTTCTAGACTAAATAAAGTATAATTGGGAAACACAGCAGTGTGTTCAGTTTACAAAAAACAAGTCCTGCGCTCAAACTGCCATCGATGCGGCAGCAACGACCATAGTACACATCAGCTCCAATACATACAGTAAAAAACAAAGGAAAAAAGTAACCTGCGCTCACTCTCTCCCCCAAATCCCTAAGTATATTTAAACAAACTGAGGATATTTAGTTTCTCCAATGGCTATTGGAGGGAATTCCCGCCTGCCCTGTCAAGGCAACCTCTCAGGTGTGTTCAGTTTGACTATTTTGAACTAAAATTGGAAATTGTGAATTCCTTTACATTTACAGTTGAATAATCTACCTGCAGTTGCAGGTTATTTTATATGGTGACACAAAAGTTGGTCACATTTATTCACTCCGTTACTATGAAACTCCCAAATAAACTCTGGTGCAAACAATTACATTTAGAATTTGTATCATTAGTTGAATAGATGATCTGTGTCGCATTATCTCAGCATAAATGCAACTGTTTCTGGCAGACCTGGTACTTTGTTAAAAAGTATATGTAGACAATTACCCTTATGAAGACTAAGGAACTATCAAAACTAGTCTAATGTTCAGTTACAAAAAGAATAAAAAAATAAAAATAAAAAAAAATCATCCTATACATTGAAATACATTCAACAACACTGAATCTGTTTTTAAACCAATAAAACTTAAGGGAAAGGAGGGCAGTAGTCAGACAAGCAACTTCGGGGCTAATAATAACCGGAGGAGTTGGAGAAACAGTGCATGGGACAACTGTTACAGTGGTACTTCCTGGCTGGGTTTTATTGATGTATAGCAAGAATAAAGCCATTATTTGCAAGACAGCCCATATGGTGCGTTTGCAAACAGGCAGGTGGTATACATCATACTTGGGTGTTGAGGGGGCCACTGAATGCGGTCTGGTCAGGGATGTGAAAAGTATACTACCTGATGCCTAGGCAGTTTATTAATTCTTTAAGCGTAGCAGATATGCCCTGTGGGGTATTCGTTCCAGGGCAGACCTCTGTGATCACTCATGGTCTGGCCCTTTCTGCTGAGTCAGTGATGCTGCTGGATGTTCCCAAAATGCACTCTGGCTCACTGAATGACTGGACTGCAAGGGTGCGATTATTTAGGTTTACATTAGCTGGAAAAGGGATATGAAAATTATAAAACCAGATGCCTGGGACATGCAGTTCAAGGTCATTGTTGCTTGTGATCCAGCGCAATGTAGTGAGTCAGAACACAGCCATTGGATGTTCCCAGCATGCTCTCTCTCACTGATATTTGTATTAACTGGAGATGCAGCCTCATGCTAGCCCACCAGGTAGATTTAACTTTTGCTCAAAAACCAGTAACAATGACCCCCCATCCTCCCCCATTGGACCATCAGGAATCATTGCCCCCTTTTCTGCAGGGGGGGCTTCGCATACACCACACACATCACATACAACCAGCTCTCATTCACTATGACAAAGGGCGTAATTCCCAAAACCTTTTGCAAAATAAACTCAAATGGCAAACCTGAAGCTAAAATAAACATGGCATAGTCCATGTCAGTTATTTTTTTCTTCTTTTTTTTTTTTTTCTTCTTCTTTTATGTTTTAATTCACAGTTTAGCGAATAACACTGTCAATATCCAGGGCTGTTGGCAGAGGTCCCAATCTTTGTAATTTAAATTGTTTATTGTCAGGACTAGTTGGTTGTCCTGCCGGACAAGTAGATTGGGTTTCCATTTTAGTCCCTTGGACAGGTAGATTTTTTTTTTTTTTTTTTTATTCCACATCCCTGGTGTTGCAAATGTAGCACTGTTTCTCACCATGTGAACACTGTCATGGTGAGAGTAACATTGTGTTTACAGGCCTTTTCTCATCAGGTACTCGGACACTTGTCAGAATTAAGGGGCGGGATGGGTGGAGCTAAATATAGTGCAAGACCCATGACTTAAACATTCCAGCTGGATGATAACCCTAAACAAGCAGCCAGAGGTGTAAAACCAAGCATCTGAATGTCTTAGAATGGTTGAGAATCTATGGAAATACTTTTCTCCAACAGTCCCCATTCAACCTAACTCTGCTTGAGTAATTTTATGGTTGAGAATAATTGAAACGTGTAGGTTCTATATGTTCAGTTTGTATGGACTAACCACAAAAGACTTACAGCAGTACTTTCAGCCAAAGATGGTTCTATTACATCTAACTCAAAAGGAGTGAATACTTTCTAACCCACTGTCTGTTTTACTTGTACTTTTTTTTTTTTGTTATAAAATATTTTTGCACTAAGTATTGGGTGGTGGTAATAATATATAAAATAAATCTTAAACCAGAATTGTAACTTCTCTGAAAGTGACAGTTCGTCATTGTCTTACCCCAGTACAGTGAAGGTAAGTAGAACAGCATACCTTACTTTCATGATCAGGTGACCTCACCACATCATGATGCTAGGCTTGATTGGGCTCTTTCATAAAAAATTGCCATATACATATGCGCTCGGGCATTGCTTCCATAGGTTAAAATACAAAGTATGCCAGTAGTACTATACATATACAGGCTAGTGACTAGTATGAGAGATGTTGAAAGAAAAAAATTAAATAAATTGGGAAAAAACATATGATATGCAAATCAGCATGCATGGAAGACAACCTAACAAGTACCCAGTCTGAAGGCCTGAGATTGAGACCCATGATCAAGGAAGAAGCAAATTCACTGCCAGATGACTGCCGTGCAATTAGGGGTAAACACCAGCCAGCCCCCAGGTAAAAAATGAGCAGGCACCCAGGTGTGTCCCAATTTATGACAGAAGCTGCAAGTGGGAAAGGAAGGGGTATTGGTGTGCCAGATTGTGGAGATGTCCTTTCCCCATATGATGGACATTTTGAGATATACTGTAGTTTAGGGAGATGTATCCCCTGATAACTCATCACCTGGGAGTTGTAAAGGCTGTCTCAGCCAGGTTGGGTGTCTGAGAGCTACGGCCCAATGACTGTTTGGAGTTCACACGTGCTCTGGTTGAGTATACTGACCCTAGTGTCCTGACAGAGATTCAATGGAATACAGAACAGAGAAAGTAAAATGCATAGTTAAGACTGTGCTGTGGTAGAAGCCTTTCATGTGCCTTACAAGTTGCCATATTAGGCAAGTTTGCACACGCTTTGCAGATAAGTCTTAATTGATATATATTCTAACCCCCACCAGTCCAAAAAGATAGGAGGAGGACCCAAGAAGAACTGCAACGGCAAACATTAATGGCCATTTATTCCAGGTGGAAGACTGGCTGCTTCCTCCACCAGGACAGCCAAAGAGGCCTTAGAAATTGGGCAGCTGAAGTCTGTTGCTGGGACAAAGCGACAAGTGCTAGAGATCTCCGTTGACGCCTTGCTGTGTCCTCAAACAGTCTTTTCCTATTTAAGTGTGACATTTGCAGGGTTAACCTGAAAAATATTGAAAATAGTTACAGAGCTCAAATGATCTGCTTGCACTCAGTATGGCTGCCCCACCCCTAAATTAAAACATTTTATATATTTATAATATTTACATTACTTTGATTTACCAGACAAATATAAAATAGTTATTGTTTTTTAATCCCTTGGCATTCCAGTCTAGTTTCACATGTTAAAGGACCGCTATAGTGTAAGGAAAATAAACTAGTTTTCCTGGCATTATAGGGTCATTAGGGCCCACCCGCCTGCTGGGCTCAAGGGGTTAAAACTCTCCTCCCTCTGCCGCCGTCGGCTCCGAATACGCAGCAAGAGGCGCGTGCAAATTTCATAGGAAAGCATTACTCAATGCTTTCCTATGGACGTCCAGCGTCTTCTCACTGATTTTCACAGTGAGAATTGCTGAAGCGCCTCTAGCGGCTGTCAGTGAGACAGCCACTAGAGGTTGGATTAACCCTCAGTGAAACATAGCAGTTTCTGTGAAACTGCTATGTTTTCGGCTGCAGGGTTAAAACTAGGGGGACCTGGCACCCAGACCATTTCATTAAGCTGAAGTGGTCTGGGTGCCTATAGTGGTCCTTTAATTTATGCTGTATTGATTTTAGTTTGGGTTTAGCTTCATTAAAGGCATGGAGGAAAGGCCTAAGGTCCTCAAACCATTGCACACAAGGGTTGTTGCTTTTACTGTTAATAGCAAAATACATCTTGGCTGGTTATAGTAATAAAAAAATGAATTTCTCTTTTGAATAATTCAGGATAAAAGAGAGCTGAAGGCTGTCTTTTGGAAAACATGTTGAAAAATTAAAATGCATTGATGTCACAAAAACCTTACCCATTCTTTTTTTTTTTTTTTTTTAACTTTATTTAAAATATTATTTATCCATTAACATCAACCTGTATTGTTCACACAATGCAAAGTATTCGTAAGTACTTTTCTCTACGAGGTTTAATTCCTGTAAAACTTTTTCAATGAGCAGTAGAAAGGTATTTTGCAAGACCAGGATATATCTACCCAATCCTATTCCATTTTGGAAATTATACGGTCAATATATGGGAACATCTTGTCTTCCCTCCCTCAAGTGTTTCTATTCCCGTGTCTTCTTCCATGTCAAAAGCACTACCATCGGCTCTACCTCACAGGCTCACTGCCTAGGTGTTTGTTTTTCCCTCCAACCTATCCTTCACCTCTCGTGTCCAGCTGATGGCCAAATCCTGCTATTCCATCTCCAAAACATTTCCATTCTCACATGCTCCAATCTTACATGTAATCTTAAAACCATCCACACAAGCACAACATGCGACCTGAGTCTTCAGCAAAATGCACCGTTATGAAGACAATGGTCGAAATGCATTGTGCTTGTGGTTTCAAAAGCAAACCTCTCTAATTTGTTAAAATTAATTGACAGATTATAAATCTGCCCATAAAGCGTAGATTGGGGAAGGATAGCTGAAATTGAGGATTGTGGTTGGTAAAACTGCCAAATATAACAAATCCACTGCATAAGTAATTACTTTATGATTATGTGACTAGTTTGAATGGTTTTTGGTGTCTGGAGACTCCTGGCAACTTTCTTCCTTTCAGTGTTAAACTTTTCTTAATTTTTTTTTTTTTTTGCTAAACAATAGTCCCAAGAACCCATACCGTTTGTGGTGATTAGACTAATGAGAAAACTTTGATTTGATATATAGTGGGCAGCTGTGATAGGCTGAAAGTAGTCAAATGGAACTCTCAGTCAATCACAGTGCACATTGCTGGTTTGAATTAATATTACTAAAATCATTTTTGTAATATCTGCCTTAGTGATGCCTCCAGTATGAACCAGGCTGTGGGTGGACTTCGGACCCTTATAAAGTGTTAAGTTGCTTGAAATTGGTTTAACCCCTTAAGGACTGAGCCAAATGTACACGCTGTGAACGAAACAAAATGTAAACAAAACCTGGCATTTGCGCTACATGTCTGTCCAACCATAATTCACCTCTTTCATATTAAATGCACCCACCCTTATTATATATCATTTTATTCAGGGGAAAAAGGGCTTTCATTTAATATCAAATATTTAGCTATGAAACATTTAATATGAAAATAATGGGAGAAAATCCGAATTTCTTTTAATTTTTTTAGTTCTACATGACATTTTAACTGTCAATGTCTTAATACTGTTTGCTTTTACTGCAATAAAATACACCTATTTGTATTCCGCAAAGTCTCACGTGTAAAACAGTACCCCCTATGTACAGGTTTTATGGCGTTTTGGGAAGTTACAGGGTCAAATATAGCACGTTACATTTGAAATTGAAATTCGCCAGATTGGTTACGTTGCCTTTGGGACTTTATAGTAGCCCAGGAATAAAATTTACACCCATAATGGCATACCATTTGCAATAGTAGACAACCCAAGGTATTGCAAATGGGGTATGTCCAGTCATTTTTAGTAGCCATTTGGTCACAAACACTGGCCAAAGCTAGCGTTAGTATTTGTGTGAAAAATGCAAAAAACGCCAATTTTTGCCAGTGTTTGTGACTAAGTGGCTACTAAAAAAGACTGGACTTACCCCGTTTGCAATACCTTGGGTTGTCTACTATTGCAAATGGTATGCCATCATAGGGGTAATTTTCATTCTTGGGCTACCATAGGGTCTCAAAGGCAACGTAACCAATCTGGCGAATTTTAATGTGAAAAAAATGAAACGCAAGCCTTATATTTGACGCTGTAACTTTTGAAAACACCATAAAACCTGTACATGAGGGGTACTGTTGTACTCGGGAGACTTCGCTGAACACAAATATTTGTGTTTCAAAACAGCAAAAAGTATCACAGCAATAATATCGTCCGTGTAAGTGCTGTTTGTGCATGAAAAATGCAAAAAAGTCACTTTTACTGGCGATATCATCGTTGTAATACATTTTACTGTTTTGAAACACTAATATTTGTGTTCAGCGAAGTCTCCCGAGTAGAACAGTACCCCCCATGTACAGGTTTTATGGTGTCTTGGAAAGTTATAGGGTTAAATATAGTGCTAGCAAATTAAATTCCCTTTACTTTCGGCATGGGTTGTCAGGCAAGTCCCACTAATTGTAATTAATTAAGATACCTAATTATGTAAAAATATTACATAAATATATATGTAGAATTAATATATGTGTGTGTATGTATGTGTGTGTGTGTGTGTATATATATATATATATGTGTGTGTGTATGTATGTGAATCTATATGTGTGTATGTATGTGTATATATAATATATATGTTTTTAAAATATTTTTATTTATATATAGGTGTGTGTGTGTGTGTGTGTGTGTGTGTGTGTGTATGTATATATATATATGTGTATATATATATATATATATATATATATATATATATATATATATAGTATGTAGATATATATATTTCGTTCTATGTGTATTTTGATATTAATATCACAATAGTTAGAACGAAATTACACACATCTATATATTTTTTAATATTTTTTTAAATTTATTATTAATAATTATATATTTAATCAGTATCAGTCTACGTGTAATTTGATAATATATATATATATATATATATATATTTTAATAGTAAAATACACCTATACGGTGTGTGTGTGTGTGTATGTATATATGTGTGTGTGTGTGTGTGTGTGTATATATATATATATATATATATATATATTTTTTTTTTTTTACACTTATTAATTTGATTTTATTTTCAGCCAGCAGGGGGACCACCTGTCATTACAGGCAGCCCCCCTGCTGGCAATGCAGGAGGCAGCCTACCCGGCCATGTGATTGTGGGGTCCTCGCAAGGACCTCACTCTCACATGGCCTGGGGGGCTGCCAGGAGGAAGATCTGCTGCGGGGGGGCTCCCTGGGAGTCCCCCCCACCGCGATCGCCGGCGTGGGACCGCCGGCGACCGGGTAAGTAAGAGCCGCGTTTAGAGCCGCCTAAAATAGGGCGTAATTGTACACCGTCCAGTCTTAAGGGGTTAAAGGGAAACCATAGTGCCAGGAAAACAAAGTTGTTGATGGAGGAAGAGGATCAGGCTAAGGGGAGATAAGTTTGTGATTTATTATTTGATCAGTAGGTTTACTTTCACACTAGTTTTTGGTTGGAGTAAGTTTAATCACTCTCGCGATTTCAATAGAATGTGCACACAATATAGTTATCCTTCCCATGAAATCTTGAAACTACATAGCAAAGCAGATTGCAGCATAAATGTACTATGCCAGGAATCCATAGTAGCAAACTGCAATAACTAGTCATCCCATATCCATGTTCAGCCTTCTCGAATGTAGATATGGGCTGATTATTGCCCCTTGCACTACAAAACACTGGATGGCACATTCATGCTGCAAGTTGATTTGCTATTTAGCCCCACTAGAAGAATATAAGGTTCACAACTTAGTAAATTGTTAGCGTGATGCAAGTTAATCTTTCCAAAAAAAAATAAGAAATTATAATAATAATAATAAATTCTATGTGGCACTTAAATTGGCATGTGTATTATAGTTGCTTACATAATTTCTTATTAATAAACTATATTTTACTTAAAAAGAACATTTCAATTACAAATTATTTGACAGTTTTAATTTGTATTTCAGTTTTTTTTTTTTTTTTCCAGCTTTTAATTATGTATGTAGGGGAGATTTTTGTCCTTTTTCAAATCAAAGTTTTGATCAAAGATTGATCACTTTGTTTATGCAGCCCTAGTCACACCTCCTTGCGTGGAACATGTACAGCCTTCCTAAACACTTCCTGCAAAGACGGACCTACTGTGTAAACTTCCTTTATTGCATATTCTGCTTAAAGGACCACTGTAGTGCCAGGAAAACAAACTTGTTTTCCTGGCACTATGGGGTCTTTGGGTCCCTTTCCCGCCGGACTCGAGAGGGGTTTAGGGGTTAAACTCTTACCTTTCTCCAGCACCAGGCTCCCTCGGCGCTGGGGTAAACATAACTATAGTAAAGTTTGCCAATTGCAAGAAGAAAAATGTAGCATAAGAGGGTATTGTGATACGTACATTTAACAGGTTTATTGCCTGCAATCTACAACAATCTACTTATAAGCAAGCTACCATGCTCATATAGCCCACCTGTGCTTTGGTAAGCTATGTGTCTTATAATGCTGGTTTTCATTCGAGAATCGTACAAATAAAATGTACCATATTTGTTTTAGGGTTTGGAAGAAAATCCACTTGATCTTTTTGACTTCGGGAGGACAAGCAATTGTAAGTATAACATGAAAGATTTCCCAGTTTTGGACACTCTGTTTGGGTTTATATAGAATTTAATGAATGCATGAAAACTGCATCCAGTCAGGAAGAGAATAAGTAACGGATGGCAGCACTTACAGAGAGACGGGAGTTTAAGAATCTCCTGTTATGTAATGATGTTACAAGAAACATATGAGATAAAAGTGCTTGCTAGCGAACATCTGTTGCATAATGCCCTTTGAAGTGTCTATAGCTATAGAGGTGTTTTGTTCTTGCTTTCTTTCCTTCCCTTTGCCCATAGTACTGCTATTCGTAGTTGTACAATTCCTTTACAATTTAGGTTTGTATGATTGATCATTCTGTAATGTAAGTTAACAGGGTTACAAAATAAAATTCTGATTGTTTAATTCATTACAGTGAATTCCTCTAGTAGGCTGTTGCACTATACAAATTGTATCTCTTTTATCCTTTAGACTGGCATATTTTGTCCTAGAGGTTGTTACCACCTATGTTACTTTCTAGTGACTTTGACAGTTTATCCTTCTTTTATAGTTGTTTTGTTTAAAAGTAATGTTACCATGAACCCCTTGCCGTAGACAGGCTTTCTTAACAGACTTCATCACATCCACCCTTACACATTCCTACAGTTAACGTTTTAAAGCCGCTTTGTGTGCTGCAGCCAGTGGGAGAAGAAGGTAGTAGATTTACTTACTGTGACAGAGCTCCCTCGGGTACCTCTGTCAAGTCCGCTTGCAGGGACCCTGGAAAGCATCTGCCCCAGTCGCCGCAGCTTGACTGGGGTCTTTCTGGAGCTTTTGCACCTGACCAGGCAGCAGCTGTCCTTCTAGACAGGTATCGTCCCATCTGTAGCTCTGCTTACAGTGATTATAGTTCTTATCTTTACAAAGGCAATTGCACCTCTCAGGCCTAGCTCTCGATTTATTCCAGGGTTAGAGGGTTCCTGTAACCAGAAAACCGGTCCAAAGACTCTGTCACTAGGATTCATGATAATCCACTCAGGACACAAGTTCCAAAAGGAATTTACATACTAAACTTTATTTTTCTCGGAACTAGCCCATTGCTAGCCCAGATTGCTGTGAAAACACAATAAAAAATACAAACCATCAAATCATAGCAGGCAACTTTATTATAACACTATGACATATTTATAAAGGGGTGGGGAAGACCATAATTAACAGAAAATATCTCTCCTGCCTGCATAATTAGCAATATGCAAATCTATCCTAGTATGCAAATTAACCAGCCTTGCTATTCAGGTAGTGCATATTGCTGTTGCTACCAACAGAGGGCACTACACATAGCCAAATCCACCTAGTTGGTAGCAATCCTCAGCAGTACAGGAGAGCAGGCAAACCATTTAACAGTACACATACATTATAAACAATTACATTACACACACCCTGCACCTATAATATGTACAGGGTGACTAAAACATGAGAAAAGTCCAGCAACCTACATAAATAGTCTGTCTGAAGGTGCAGGTGATGGTGACTTACCTTAAGCTTCCATCTTACTTCAATGTACATCATTGAGCAATCCTGTGCTTGGTCCTCCAAATATCATATCTCATGTGTGGGAAAATGCCTCTTTAACTTGAGAAAAGTTCATAATGGAAGCTCCACCAATTGTCAACTTTTGCCAACCTTTGACATTACCATAGTCCCTACTTTGTGTTTGTATCTTTTGTTTGTTGGAATTTTTATGAAATCATTATGCAGTCAATAGCAGTATTTCATACAGATTACAAAGAAGTCTCAGCTCCACTTTAAAGGACAATTGGCATCAAATTTTCACTTCTTTTTTTAAAAAGTTTACTATATTATAGCATCCTTGTTACTGTTTGGGGTCTTTGCCTAATTTGGAAATTAGGTGACTAAGTGGCTACTAAAAATGACTGGACATACCCCATTTGCAATACCTTGGGTTGTCTACTTTTTCAAATGGTATGCCATCATGGGGGTAATTCTCATTCCTGGGCTACCATACGGCCTCAAATGCAACGTAACCAATCTGGCAAATTTCAGTGTGAAAAAAATGAAATGCAAGCCTTATATTTGACTCTCTAACTTTCCAAAACACCATAAAACCTGTACATAGGGGGTACTGTTATACTTTGGAGACTTCACTGAACACAAACATAAGTGTTTCAAAACAGTAAAACATATTACAACAATATCGTCAGTAAAAGTGCCGTTCGTGTGTGAAAAATGCAAAAAAAATCACTTTTATTAAATATATCATCATTGTAATACAATTTATCATTTTGAAACACTAATATTTGTGTTCAGCGAAGTCTCCCGAGTGAAACAGTACCCCCCATGTACAGGTTTTATAGTGTCTTGGAAAGGGCTGCCTGGGCTGTCAGACAGCCCTCCAGAAGAGGATCGCAGCGGAGGAAAGTCCACCGGAGCTCCTCGGGCTGAAAGCCGTTACAGCTGTGAGCCGGGGAGAAACCAAAGGTGGACAAGTAAGAGATAAAAAAAAAAAAAAAATGCAATGATAAACATTGCAGGGAGGGCTCGAATGAGGAAGGAAGATATGGCTTTTCTTTTCAGGTGCAATGCATGTAGTGGTAAAAGTTCATTACGTCTGCCGTCAGCACACCGTTCATACGAACGTCAGAATTAATTTGTGCACAGTGTTAACAGAGTTCCAGGTTGCCTAAGTCAAGTATGTTGGAGGTCAACAATCACCTGGCACAAAATTGTAGGTATTATTATTATTTATATAGTGCCAAGAAATTCTGCAGCGCTGTGCAATGGGTGGACTAACAAACACGTAATTGTAACCAGAAAAGTTGGACGCACTGGAACAGAGGGATTGAGGGCCCTGCTCAATGAGCTTACATGCTAGAGGGAGTGGGTTAGAGTGACACAAGGTAAGGGTAGGAGTAGAATAGTATTTGCTGAAGACTTGGTGTTTTGATTACCGTTGTAGGAGGGCTGGGAGAGCTATTAACTTTTTAATTGATATGCTTTCCTGAAGAAATGAGTTTCAATGACTTTTTTTGAAGGAGTGGAGACTGGATGAGTGTCTTAACGGAGAAAGGAAGGAAGTTCCACAGGAACCGTGGAGCCTTAGAACCTCAGATGTGGGACTACGAACAGGGGATAGACGTAAGTCTTCGGCAGAGCGTAGGGGCCTAGATGGGACATACTTGCGTAATAGGGAAGACAGGTTGGAGCAGTATTGTGTAGAGATTTGTAAGCAAGAACCAACATTTTAAATTGAGTCCTATATCTTAGAGGAAGCCAATGTAGGGACTGACAGAAGGGTGAGGTGTGCGCAGAAGGGAAGATGAGCCTCGCCTCATTCATTGTAGACTGTAATGGAGCAAGTTGGGAGCACGTTAGACCACTGAGAAGCGTATTGCAGTAGTCAAGGCGAGAGGTCAGCGGCATGCACCAGAACCTTGGCTGTGTCCAGCGTTGAGTAGGAGCGGATGTGCGCTTTGTTTTTTAGGTGGAAGTGTCAGGATTTGGCTATTGATTGGACATGAGGGTCGAGAGAGAGATCGGAGTCAGAACACCTAGGCAGAGCGCCAGTGAGGCGGAGCTGATGGTCGTGCCGTTATCGTAGCGGGAGACCGAAACGGGAGTAGCAACATTTGAGGGAGCAAAGACTAAAAGTTGAGTTTAAGGAAATGAGATATCTCTGTATGTGCAGCGCTTTAAACTGAAACTCTGCTCGTACAGATTTCTTCATGGCCATTTCTAAAAGCAGAAGTGGTCATGGAGGTTGTAGTAATCCCTTACAAAATTAGGTGATTTACAAATATGGCTCTTATTGCACAGCAAGCTCCTGTTAGGTTCCTCAAAAACAAGCCAACTTTAAAACCTAAAAATACCAAAAAGAAGGAAGTGCACTGAAATTATACAAAGTATTCTTATCTTATTAAAAAGAAAAATCATTCTCTTCATATTGTTAATTGAATTACACCCAACAAATAAACAAACCTATACAAAATATTTGATTTTATCTGAATTTTTTATTGTAGTATATATTATATAATAACCCGATTTCAGCTCTATGCAGCGTCCAACAATAAACCAACTTTGATCATAACATGTCAGTTTCCAGGAGGCACCGATGAAGATGGGGATGAAAGGAACCTCTCACAGCAGCAGATAACGCTGCAAAATAAACGTATATCAAGTAATAGTGCCAACCTCAAGCTGAAATTGGGCAAAATTCCACCATTTCTTTCAGCTGCTGTGCAATGGAAGGTACTTTGGAAGCAAGGTGTCCTGGTATCCTGATTAAAATAACTCCTGAGCCAATGGCTGAGCTACTGTGGTCGCCGGAGTCACAGCAGCGACCGGGCCCAGCTTCCCTGTGGATCCCTTGCCACCGGGTGCCTGTCTGCTATATGTTGCGGCCATGCGGTAGAACCGCCGGGGCCGCACATTGGGCCCATTGAGTGGCCCATGCTGTTAGGGCCACTCAATTGAAATGAATTTCCAGGCGGCCCGGTCAGCGCTGCGGCACTTTAACAGCGCAACCGGGCCCCCTTTGATGACATCAGAACACAGTGAGGAAGTTACTGCCCCAGCAACTTTCTCCCTTAAATCATAGAGCCTGTGCAGGAGGAAGAGAGGAGGGATTCAGAGAGGGAACTCTGACTCCCATCAGCCTAAACCACTGGACCCCAGGGAAAGTTCCACTCCTGCACCTAAAAGGTAGGAAACAGGAGGACATTTTGCATGTGTCTCTGTGTGTATGTCTGTATGTATGTGTGTTTGTATGTATGGGCCTCTGTGTGTGTCTGTATGTATGGGTCTCTGTGTGTATGTGTGTGTGTCTGTATGTACAGTGAAGGAAAAAAGTATTTGATCCCCTGCTGATTTTGAACGTTTTCCACTGACAAAGAAATGATCAGTCTATAATTTTAATGGTACGTGTATTTTAACAGTGAGAGACAGAATAACAACAAAAAAATCCCAGAAAAACGCATGTCAAAAAAGTTATAAGTTGAATTTCATGTCAATAAGTGAAATAAGTATTTGATCCCCTATCAATCAGCAAGATTTCTGGCTCCCAGGTGTCTTTTATACAGGTAACAAGCTGAGATTAGGAGCACTCTCTCTTAAAGGCAGTGCTCCTAATCTCAGCTAGTTACCTGTATAAAAGACACCTGTCCACAGAAGCAATCAGTCAATCAGATTCCAAACTCTCCACCATGGCAAAGACCAAAGAGCTGTCCAAGGATGTCAGGGACAAGATTGTAGACCTACACAAGTCTGAATGGGCCACAAGACCATCGCCAAGCAGCTTGGTGAAAAAGTGACAACAGTTGGTGCGATTATTCGCAAATGGAAGAAACACAAAATAACTGTCAGTCTCTCTCGGTCTGGTGCTCCATGCAAGATCTCACCTCGTGGAGTTTCAATGATCATGAGAACGGTGAGGAATCAGCCCAGAACTACACGGGAGGATCTTGTTGATGATCTCAAGGTAGCTGAAATCCTGCAGTGCCCACAAGGTCCCCCAGCTCAAGAAAGCACATGTACATGCCCGTCTGAAGTTTGCCAATGAACATCTGAATGATTCAGAGGAGAACTGTGTGAAAGTGTTGTGGTCAGATGAGACCAAAATCAAACTCTTTGGCATGAACTCAACTCGCCGTGTTTGGAGGAGGAGGAATGCAGCCTATGACTCGCAAGAACACTATCCCCACCGTCAAACATGGAGGTGGAAACATTATGCTTTGGGGGTGTTTTTCTGCTAAAGGGACAGGACAACTGCACTGCATCAAAGGGATGATGGACGGGGCCATGAACTGTCAAATCTTGGGTGAGAACCTCCTTCCCTCAGCCAGGGCATTGAAAATGGGTATTCCAGCATGACCCATTGTACAGGGCTACGGAATCTGATGGCGCTATATAAATAATAAAATAATAATGACAACGACCCAAAACACACAGCCAAGGCAACAAAGGAGTGGCTCAAGAAGCAGCACATTAAGGTCCTGGAGTGGCCTAGACAGTCTTCAGACCTTAATCCCATAGAAAATCTGTGGAGGGAGCTGAAGGTTCGAGTTGCCAAACGTCAGCCTCAAAACCATAATGACTTGGAGAGGATCTGCAAAGAGGAGTGGGAGAAAATCCCTCCTGAGATGTGTGCAAACCTGGTGGCCAACTACAAGAAATGTCGGACCTCTGTGATTGCCAGCAAGTACTAAGTCGAAGGGGTCAAATACTTATAAATTGATTTGCATGTCAATGAGTGAAATAACTTTTTTGACATGCGTTTTTCTGGAATTTTTTTTTTTTTTTTCTCGTTATTCTGTCTCTCACTGTTAAAATACACCTACCATTAAAAAAAATATAGACTGATCATTTAATTGTCAGTGGGCAAATGTTCAGGGGATCAAATACTTTTTTCACTCACTGTATGTGTGTGTGGGGTGGCGGCCGAGTAGGCATATGGGGGAGGGGCGGTCCCATGGTTTCTAGTTACGCCTCTAACCATAGTCATATATATATATATATATATTGAACACTAGAGGGTGTGAATGTCCTCTGTAATAATCTACGGAATATTAAAGCAAGACATATAGATTGGTGCCTTTTTGCAAGCAGAAATGCATAATTATATATATATTATTTTTTTTCTCTCGCAATTTCGTGGGCCCTTTTAAAACCCTTGTATTGGTGACCTAAATCATTTACGATCTTTGATTTCCCTGGCTTTCGAAGGAAGAAGTCCAGTTACTGGCAAGCTTTGTAACATTGAAGCAAAGGTCAAAGATCTTTCTCTAGGGGACCATAGCCTGTCTAGTCTGAGGGCTTACAGAAAAACACATAAGAAAAAAAACTTTATTTTAAATCCTATTGATTTTCCTTCTCACCTTGTGTTTCTTATTCACTTGCTATTTCGGTGGAGGCTACCAGGTGCAAATTGTTGGAGATGAGGTGTATAAAAGAGGTTTCTTTGAAAGTAAATGTAAAGGACTTCTCAGATGTGCACTGTATTTTTAAATTTTTCTTCCACCACCTGGGGGCAGCATAGTACACTCTATAAAATGGATTTGTCCTTAGTGGCATTCATTGTTCCTGAGTATATCCTGTTTGCTAGCAAAAAAGCTGCTGCCATTCTTTTGAATTTATCGATCCTTTACTCTTTCACCAAAAATTTTGGGAACTGAGTAAAGCAACTCAATTCTTGCATTATTCCCTTGAGTCAGGAATCTTGTAAACTGATTTTTAAATGTTTTGAAATTCATTAAAGTACCTAAACATGTTTTGCAGTACACACTTCTAACAATGTTTTTTTTTGCTTTTGTGGAATGAAGGGTGGGTAGGGCGTTACTGTCTCTCTAAGGTTTTTTTTTTTTATGTAGTATATACATGGGGAAGCATTGGATTGGCTGAAATCATCAAGACTGGTGGAAGTAAGGTGAGTTAACCCTTTTATTTCAGTTGGTGTTTGGGTGCTCATATAACTAATTACCAACTATAGCATTAGCAATGTTTGTATAATATTGTTGGTATGACATCCTAAAGGAGATATTCACATTAACCTCTACATCTTACCCTAGTATTTATGGCTATGGATGCAATATATTTTTCACCTTGTCTTTCTTTAAACCATGTTATGATATGAGAAGTGGCAAGTAAGATTCCCATCTCTCTAGTGTATAAAGTGCTTCCAAGCCCTGTAATTAGTATTCTAAAGCATTTTGGGGGGTAAGTGAGCGGGGAGCGGAGGCACTATAACTTCAATAAAATAAAGTTGTTAAGGTGCCTACAGTTAATTCAAGATGAGATAAGCACTTTTTTCACAGTAAAAATTGTATAAAATAAAGTTCACGGAAATACCGTATTTCCATTGTTAACCTGCAAATCTATGCACAAGCAATGAGCACTTTACCTTAAAGGAACACTATAGTGTCAGGAATATACATGTGTATTCCTGACATTATGTTAAAAACTCAATTTAGGTGGCCAACCCCTCCTTACCTCCTTTAACAAGATTGAAAACATACATTTATTCCAGTGCCATGTGGGTCTGCCATTAGAGCTCTGTCCTCGTTCGCCTCTTGGCTGAGATCATTAAACTGATATCAGCCAATCCAATGCGTTCACATAGGAAAGCATTGTGAGGCTAATGCGCACAACACTGTGGTGCACCAATCCGTTTCTTCTCATAGAGATTAAATCAATGCAGAGTGTGGAGACTTTGAACGTCAGTGCTGCACACTGTGTAACGCTAACCCAGGAAGCACCTCCAGTGGCCATCTGAGGAGTGGCCTCTAGATGTGTCACTTTTCATTAAAATGTCTGCAGGGAACTAATATACACACCAGAACTATATTAAGCTGCAGTTGTTCTGGTGACTATGGTGTCCTGTTAATGTAACACTATAGTGACAAGAATACAAACTTGTTGTTCTGTCGCTATATAGTTATGAAAGTTTAGATCACCTCCCCCTCGTCCATTAAGTAAAAAAAAAAAGTTACTCGCTTTTCTTTCAGTGCTGCGCAAATCTCTCGTGACTGGCCCTGCCTACACTCATCCCCTTGACTTGATGATCTCAGGCAATTTAATGCTTTCCCATAAGGAAAACATTAGGAGGCTTACGCATGCATGACAAAATGTTGTGCTGCGCTAATCCGCATCTTCTCATAGAGATGCATTAAATCAATGCATCTTTATGAGGAACGTTCAGTGTCTCCAATGCTGAGCGTGGAGTTGCTGTATGTCGGTTCTGCACATTGTGTCTAGTTCCTAGGCAGCAGAGTAAGCACAGCCTTTTTCTCTGTAAAGGTAGTGTTTACCTGCAGTTACAGGCTATGAACACCAGAACAATTACATTAAGCTGTATTTGTTCTGGTGACTATAGTGTCCCTTTAAGTACAACATTTTACTATTGTGTGAAGTGAAATACATCTGTACCATTTAAGTGTGAGGAAGGAGAGGCAAGCAGTTAAATGAAACCTTCTGATCAGCTTACAAACCTAAGAATCTTACTGCACATAGCTTGAAGTTCTTTATTCCCTCCCTCGAGGAGAAAGATGGCACATAAGTATGGGAATATTTTAATGAAGTTTCTCTAACTGTGGGTAAAGCAGGCATGCATACACATTTCAAGAAATGCAAGGTGGCCAGAATGAAATAACGTTATGAGAAGTGCTATAAAGAAAAAAACATGTTTGAAGAGGCAGGATCTTCAGGTTGGTTAACTGTTTATATCTCACCACCTCCATGACATATTGTCAAGGCTGGAGATGTAAGAGGGTCTAGTTTCTGCTATTGTACTAATGTAATCACCTTCTCTAGCCTGTAACCGTATTGTGATCAGCGCAGCACATCACTTCCAGTTCCAGGAATCTGTCTTTTCAAACCTTGAGTATGCTGCGGTTTTCAGTCACCGCAAAATTCCATTCTCCAGCATTACGCTTTCTTGGCGTTCGCAAAACTGAAGGCATATCCATTCGACAGAATTGCTCTCTTAGCTTGTGGGGAGTTTTAGCCTAACCGACCTGAAGTTCAACTTTGTTCGGTGATATTCAATGGATAGAAGATATAAAGGGAGGGAAATTTTATGTTGCTCAACATCTTTACCGGTTATTTGACATGCGTGTTATGCATCCAAATCCTTGGGGTTGGCCGGCACCTACTTTGATCTTCTTTTATGAATACAATTATTAATTCTTACATGTATGTATTCAGGGGAGGGTGTATAAGTCGTGGGTCTCCATACGCTTTAGCGAACGCATTCAATTCTACAAATTACACTTTTATACATTTTACTAGTTATTCTAGGTTCCACTAACCTGTTAGGAATAAGTTAATAAAAAAAAAAAAAACCTCTTCAGTTGTTACCTGGTAAGTTATTGGCATATGTTTTATGCCCTTATATGCCAGTTTAGGTGGCATGTCATTACAGAGGCTACTTTCTTACATTTTTTAAATTCTCAATGTTGGTGGCCAGCTGGTTTACTTCCAAGTCTGGCATATTAAGGCAGGGCTCGAACAATCCCGGTCGCCTGGGATTGATCGACCCGTTCCCTGCTCAATCTCCGTGCACCTTTTGGTGCGCTGTTGTATCGGGAAGAAGTGAAGGGATCTGTAATTTCATCCTCCCAGCACTGAGGCTGCGCAGGGGAATGGGCATAAGGTAAAGTCTGCCCTGCTTGCTGTCTGCCCCCATTTCTCAGAGCTAGCCCGCCCCTATTTCTCAGAGCTCTCCTGCCTATTCCAAGCATGCCTCAGCGACAGGAGGAAGTAATTACAGTTCCCTTAACTACATCCTGGCACACAGAAAGCTAGAAGGGGCTCCCATCAGCTGCAGCCAGCTCTACTAATCTAATATCATCAGCCCAGTCACACTGGACCCCAGGAAAGTCACCATCCTGAGCCCAAAAGGTAGGAAACAGGAGGGTGGCTAAAAATGTTTTTATTTTATTTAAAAAAAATATATATATTTTTTTTATATCCTTGTGGATCTATTTGAGTGTATCAAATAATAAATACTTTGTTAGTGTTTTAGAGAATGTGTGTGTCTGTCAGAGAATGTGTATGCTTAGGACACCAGTCCCCTCCGATCGTGTTTTTTCTCACCTTTTTTCCAAAACGTGCCGGTCTCACCACAGCTGGCCCGCCTCCATAGCTGAGATTATAAATTCTCAATCAGCATCTCCTCATAGGGCTTCATTAAATCAATGCATCTCTACATGGAAAGTTTAACACCTCCATGCAGAGTGTAGACACTGAAATAGAAGACACTTTAGTGGCTGTTTGAGTGACTGCCACTAGAGATGTTACTATGCAGTAACGTAAACACTGCCTTTTCTTTGAAAAGGCAGAATTTACATTGAAAAGCCTGCAGGGAAAATCTGTAGACACCAGAGCCAGTTCATTAAGCTGTGGTAGCTCTGGTGACCATAGTGTTTCTTTAAGAATTGCATTTTTGGGGGGGGTGGGGCCTGACCGCCATGCTGACTGGTCGCAGGCTGGAGAGGCTCCTGCAGGAATTGGCCTACTTTGGGGGGAAATGCCAAGCTTAAAGCCTGTCTCAGAGCCAAGAGGCCACCTCTCATGTCCGGGTGGTTGCCGGTGCCACTGCGGTCCCCGAGATCGGAAGTTTTGCAGCCCCAGGGTGAAATGCGAGGCTTCGGCGCCTGCGGCCTATGTGGGTGGAGAGTGGGGCAGACGGCCGCCGTCCCGCGTCGGAACCTGGCTGCCGTCCAATAGCCCAGTGATGTCTCAAAGGTCCCTGCTTCCCCCCCATGGACCGGGGGGGTTATCCCAGGCCACACTGGAGGTAACCACCGCCCAATCCTGACCCTCCGAGTCCACCTAACACTGCGCATCCCACGCCTGGGTGCCAAAATGGCGGCGACGTGACTGAAGCCGAGAATCGCATCTGCAAGCAGCTCAGCCCGCATTAAGCAGCATACACCATGGGCCACGGAGCCCGAACCAGCAGACAAGCCTCTGACAAGCCCCTACTTACCCACTCACGGATCAAGCCTGGCTCCACGACAGCCTTCCCGGGTGGGGAGCCCCCAACGTTGAAATATCAAGAGCTGGGGGCCGGAGGCGTGGTAATCGCTATACCAACCGAACAGGAGCAGACCACATCTCACAGGCACACCACACTACATAGCAGTGGATCATCAGTCCAGTTCAGCCATTCTCATTAAGCTTGCTAATACTCCAATGTTAACCCTGTAAGCAAATACATATACCAACACTGATGTAGGGGTTGACAAATTGCTGCTACCCAAGTTAGCCTGATCTTAAAGGAACACTATAGTCTCCTAAATTACTTTAGCTAAATAAAGCAGTTTTAGTGTATAGATCATAACCCTGCAATTTCACTGCTCAATTCATTGTCATTTAGGAGTTAAATTTTTTGTTTCTGTTTATGCAGCCCTAGCCACACCTCCCTGGCTATGATTGACAGAGCCTGCATAAAAAAAAAAAAAACTGGTTTCACTTTCAAACAGATGTAATTTACCTTAAATAATTGTATCTCAATCTCTAAATTAAACTTTAATCACATACAGGAGGCTCTTGCAGGGTCTAGCAAGCTATTAACATAGCAGGGGATAAAAAAATCTTAATTAAATAGAACTTGCAATAAAGAAAGCCTAAATAGGGCTCTCTTTACAGGAAGTGTTTATGGAAGGCTGTGCAAGTCACATGCAGGGAGGTGTGACTAGGGTTCCTAAACAAAGGGATTTAACTCCTAAATGGCAGAGGATTGAGCAGTGATGCTGCAGGGGCATGTTTTATACACCAAAACTGCTTCATTAAGCTAAAGTTGTTCAGGTGACTATAGTGTCCCTTTAACCTGTGTGATTGTTAACATTTAGCCTGACAACTCGTGAATTACCTGAAATCTTGTGTCATATAATCTTTTATTGTTTTGCTTGTCAATATAAAAATAATGTGCTGTACCCCTCACATGCCATGTTAACTAACTGCTTATAATACAGTTGTGGATGCTGTTGTGGCACCGTAAGATCAAATGTTGTATGTTTCACACGCACAAGAAAAATAAAGAATTAAAAAAAAAAAAATTGCATTTTTGTCATTGGAAAATAAAAAGCTGTCTCCTAGATTGAACACAATTTTTTTCAACACCTGTATTAAGGTATATTAATTTACCTTATAAATTAGCTATATATATATATATACATTTTCCTATGTTCACATATTATTTAGTCTATAAGGTCGGAGAGTCAATTTTGGTGTCCAGATATATCTTGACATTTTATTAATCCCCCTAACAGGAAAGTTTAATAACCATAGCTACTCGTACCATTTCAATATTGTATGTCTTTAGTCTAGATATATTGTATTACTATATACATAGTTCATGTATACATTTCATTTTAGATCTAGGGTGCAATTCATTGATCAGCCTCCTTGTGCAAGGTTCAAATAACTCTTAAAGTGGCACTGTCATGCCAAACTTACCTTTACCTAATTGCTTTCTCTTATCTCAGTATCTGTTCTTCTTTTTCTTCCTATTTGCTCTATTTTTTTTTTTGTTTGTTTTTTTTAAACCTAAGACAAAGTAGGGACTATTTTGTCTTATGTATTTTTTCCTACTCATGGCCAGTTCTGACCTACTTCCATTGGGTCAGAGAAAATTTCCCACAATACTCACCCTTTCTTCAGTGATCTTGTGATGCCTGCTTTCAGTATTCCCAAACGTCCTGTCACATAGACAGGACGCCGGCGAAACTACCGAATTTTGACAATAGTTCCCCCCCCCCTCCTCTTTTTACTTGGGCCCCCATCCACCGTGCATGGGTGGGTGCTGGATAGGGAAGACAATCGGGTCCTCCCCCTCCTTTTGTTTCTTAGGGCCCCACCCTCCGCTCATTGGTGGAGGCCGGGGGAGGTGGGGACTCTATAAAAACAGATAGAGGTCGGTTGGATACAGAACTCTAATGCAAGCATTTTGAAGGTCTTAAGACACCAGCTTGTACGATATGTGTTTCTACGGCAGATTCATACATGAGAAAATAAGGGTTTGGCTGCACTCACCTACACATGCTAAATTAGGGTGCTGCTGGGGGCCAATAAGTACAGTAAAAATGAAAATCCAGCGCACTCGCTTATCTACTAAACAGTCATTTTAATGCTGAACAATTTTCAGTTTTATTGAAAACACCTAATCTAGGCAAAAAAATATAATGGGGGTTTAGTTACAGTATGTGATCATACATTGCATAAGCCTGCCACAACGCCAATGTACCCCATCTTTGGCAGGTCCTACTGTCTGCTAAATGAGCTTCTCACTTGGGGAAATCCTTCCATCTCGAGGTCTCTGCAGTACAATGCTTAAATAGGATCCTGAGATGAGGCACCTGTAACAGGGAGGGTTGCAAAACCCATGGAGCTGGCTAGACTCCTAAATATATACATATATGAGAAAATAAGGGTTTGGCTGCACTCACCTACACATGCTAAATTAGGGTGCTACTGGGGGCCAATAAGTACAGTAAAAATGAAAATCCAGCGCACTCGCTTATCTACTAAACAGTCATTTTCTACGGCAGATTCAACCAGCCTATTCTCTACTGATACTAACACACCTACCACTAGCCTTCAGCATGCGAATTGAAGGGCAAACTGGGTTGGCCTATTGTTTTGTGTAGGAAAGCATGGGATTGGCTGAGATTGTCATTTCTAATGATCTCAACCATGGGGGCGGAGCCAAATGCTGCCCTGGCTTATCTGCATCTCCTCCTAGAGATGCATGGAATAAATGCATCTCTATGGGGAATGTTAAGTGTACGCTGAATGTCCACTGACGAAGGAAGCACCTCTAGTGTGAGTGCCTCTGAAAACGCAGTGTTTACATGATAATGTTTGCAGGTCTGACTATATTCACCAGAACAACTACATTAAGCTGTAGTTGTTATGGTGACTATAGAGTACCTTTAATAAATTATGTATTTGGCATTCAATGTTTGCTTTCTTTTGTTTACAGGCCTACAGTACATCGGTTTCGGCACACCTCAATCAACTAATTTTAATTTATTATGTTGTGCTTATTACTTACAGTTTACGACTTCGATCTATCTCCTCCAATTATGAATGATTAACTTATTAAACTAAAACTAAACTAAAATATGTTCTGATAAAGCTGTTTTACTAATTTGACAGGGTGTTATTCTAAATATGAAATCTTCATCTGGTTGCAAATATTAAAGATAACTAGCAGCAAGAATGAGTCTTTACATTTAAAAATCATGATTTAAATAGGATTTTACTGATTAGTGATTTTAATAGACTTGATTTAAAGGGATCCTATTGTGTTTTTCTGGCACTACAGGCTCCTGGAGTGCCCCCCACCCACAGGCCTGAAGGGGTTAAAACCTCTTCAGCCACTTACCTGAATCAAGTGCCGATGTCCCTTGGTGCTGGGTCTAGCCCCGCCCATGCTCCTCCCCCGCCGTCAGCCGGTGGGGGAGACCTAATGCGCATGCGCGGCAATGGCCTCGCGCGTATTAGACCTCCCCATAGGAAACTTTATTCAATGTTTTCCTATGGGGAAAATCTGACACTGGAGGTCTGTGAGGACGTCCAGCGTCCGATAAAGGACCAAAAGTTAGTTTGGATTCTGGAAGCCCTCTAGTGTTTTACATTGCTGCACTAACTGCAAAAGGGTCACAGCACCCAGACAACTTCAATTAGCTCAAGTGGTCTGGGTGCATACTCTGTCCCTTTAAATTAACCCCTCCCCTCTGCAGCAGTCTATAAAGAATTCTCCAGAAAACTCATTGCAGTCAGATAATTTTGGACATCTCATTTCCACAGTCCAGAGTATGAATACATTTGTTGAAGGAGCAGTATGGCTCTACAACTATATGTCCATAAACCCTTGCTGTACAGAGAAGTTTTTGATAAGAACACTATTCACAGTAGACTATATTGGGAGACTTTGTGGTGTTCCTGGTATGGGAATAATCCCTCTGTAATCCTTACTTCTGCAAATGCATTAGAATAGTTAATGCAGGAAGCATTGAACTGTAGAGGATTAATGATCAAAAGGAATTACCTGTAAAGGGTGCTAAATGGTATAATCCCAATACCCAATTTGGAATACTAATACACAGTATAAAATAGCCCACAACACAATAATTATTAGTGCAAAAATGGCAAAATTAGCACTAATAATGTGCATCATATGAATATATAAAATGTCAA